GTTGAATGTTTGTCTGTGATTTGTGCATATCGAGATCCTCATGGGTTCCAACATCGACCAACCTGCCCACCCCAAGGGATGTTCTAAACAAGCGACCACCCAGTCGAGGGCCTTAGTCATGGTGGGTTTTGGTCTTCACACTTGCCCTCCCGCGAGGATTGTTCCAAACAGGAGGTCACCCAGCCCAAGGGCGTGAGTGATCGACCAACCTGCCCACCCCAAGGGATGTTCTAAACAAGTCACTTCTGAACCGGACCATATCATACATCCTGTCATCGAAATCGTTCCAACATTCCAAGCATAAGAAAATATTCGATAAAGCAAGTAATACTAAAAGATAACTGCATTCTTATATACTTCTGAACAAGATTTGCGAGTTACATCTTTGTTCAATCTTCCCATATCTCTTTAAAAAAAGCAAAAATTTCACACATAATATTTTTTCAAATTAGTTATGTTCCATGACCTGGCAAGTGATCGTCCTTCTGCATCCTTTAGAGAGTATGCTCCTCATGCATGCACTCTCTCGACCAGGTATGGTCCTTCCCAGTTTGGCTCCAGCTTTCCTATGTGTTTGAGCACATCCACACGCTTCCAAACTAAGTCACGTACTTGAAGTCTGCGGACTTTCACCTTCTTGTCATGAGCTGCCCGCATCCTTCGTTTGTACGCCTCCACCCTAATTGCTGCCCTCTCGCGCAGATCCTCGATAGTATCTAAGGCCGCCGTCATGAGATCCTCATTTTGCTCTGGGTCATATGTGCTCGACCTTTGCGACGACAGCTCGAACTCAACTGGCAGCAGTGCCTCCATCCCATAGACTAAACTGAAGGGAGTCTCTCCTGTTGTCGACCTCGGGGTCGTACGGTATGCCCAGAGCACTGAAGTTAGCTCGTCGACCCACGCCCCCGAGGCCTTTTCCAGCCTTGTTTTCAGCCCGTTCAGTATAATTCGGTTAGTCACCTCGACCTGGCCGTTGGCTTACGGATGAGCGACAGAGGCAAAATGTTGCTCGATTTTCATATCCTCACACCATGCTCGAATCCGCTTACCATTGAATTGAGTTCCATTGTCGGATATCAACACTTTAGGCACGCCGAACCTACAGCAAATATTGTTATATAAAAAATTGATGACTACCTCTTCCGTGATCTTTGCCAAGGGCTCGGCCTCCACCCACTTCGTAAAATAGTCTACCGCCACGATATGGAATTTTCTCTACCCAGTTCCTTGTGGCATCGGCCCCACCAGGTCGATTCCCCACTGGGCAAATGCTATAGGAGCACTCATCGTTGTCATCGCCTCTGTCGGTTGATGGATAAGCAGGCCACGCTTCTGGCATTGT